GACAGACACTAGGAAGGGCACTCTAAAGTTAAACATCCTTGTTTTTTCTGAGTCTTTATTTTTTGGGGTGAGCCAGTGTAATTAGAAAACGACCAGCTTTAGGTTCATTAACTCACCCTGGTGACTTGCTTTCACTTTTCGCATGCCAATATTAAACTGTCCATCACTAAGAAGGAAATTCAGCAAATAATTTGAGGTCATACGTGTAGAATTCGGCAAGCATTCAAGCTATGTTGTTTTATGAGCATGAACTGATAAATTCAAAGTGGTTTGAGCAGACAAGAGATAGAAATGCTCTGGATCCAGTCTGAAGAAATGGGAGGGCGGGGGTTTTTTTTTTTTTTTTTTGGGCATGGGGTGGTGGAAAAGAGAATTGCAAGTTTTATAATTGTATCATGGAAAATTACCAACTTTTAATATAAATATGAAAACAGGAAAAAGAACATATAAGCAGCACAACTCAGATATGATTTAAAAGAAGGCAAAAAAAAAAGCTTAAAAAGAAATGAAATGATGACAAATAACGACGGTAAGCATATAAGATATACCAGAGGCATATGATTCTCTTTGGGCTCCTGGGGCCGACTTGATGGAATCCTAGGTCCAAATTGGCCACTGAATTTATCTGTATGTACCCTGTATTGGCTCCATTTGTCATGTAACTCTGGCGTGGTGGCTACTAGTTTGTCAGCAGGTATGGAATTCTGAGAACTCAAAGCAGATGCTTTGGGACTTGAAGACTCAACTCCATGAGCTAATTCCCTTAGCTTTTGCTCCAACAGAGTGCTTAATGCATCACCTCCTATCAAGTTATATCCCCGTGAAAACATAGGACTACTCGTAACATCTGAGTTGAGAAGCAGCTTTTTACTTCGATAATCTGAACAAAAATCATTACTTTTCTCTACCACCTCCCGGCAGGTCCCTGGACCAGGTACTGACCGTGTCATTGGTGCTGTGAATGTAAAAGACACAACATCCATTCCTTTCTTTTTGCTAGCTTCAGCCCAGTCCAAAAGTTCATCAGTTTTAGTTGGCTTCCTATTTTTATCAATCAGTATGTTGTCAACATCCCGACTTTTCTCTAAGTGAAAATCTCCATCTATGGATCGTTTCTTCTGAGTGCCAGAGGTTCTATTAGAACATGAGACTTCTTGCAGACCATCTATAACTTCTAAGCCCGACTTCCTGGAAATAATCTTGGTGTTCCCTGCAGATTTACTAGAGCTTTTGTGTCTCCTAAAAGCAAAATCCCCGGACGAAGTTTTTCTACCTTGCGAGTTGCATGCCAAGGGCTTTGAAGATAACGTTCCCCTATCTGTTAAGCAGTTCTGCTTCTGATTATTCTGCCTGAGAACACTTGACGTGTAATGGGTAGAAGGTTTCCCATGAGAATTCTTTTGGGTATTTTGTTGGCTTTTAAACAGCTGGCTTGACATAACTTCATTCAGTTCCTGGTGGCAAAACAAATTTCTTGTGCCACTCGTATTCAAGCCTTCTCTTTTCTGAACATTGACCTTTGCTTGAAGTGCAAGTGATATGGATCTTTCCTTGTTCTTTAGACCAGAGGAGCATGTTTCTCGATTAGAAGAAACCTGGAATGTTGGATCTATTGATCCATTCACACTTTGGTTCCGTGATTGACCCTTAAGATATTTAACAGCATTGAAATCAACNGTGCCACTCGTATTCAAGCCTTCTCTTTTCTGAACATTGACCTTTGCTTGAAGTGCTAGTGATATGGATCTTTCCTTGTTCTTTAGACCAGAGGAGCATGTTTCTCGATTAGACGAAACCTGGAATGTTGGATCTATTGATCCATTCACACTTTGGTTCCGTGATTGACCCTTAAGATATTTAACAGCATTGAAATCAGCTGGCCTTCGAGAAGCTTCAGCAAGCTTGGATGGTTTTTGAACAGCATCCACTTTCTCTTTCAAATCTTTGACTCTCAAGGGAACTGAAGAAGAGCCAACTAGAGGCCTTTTTGCTTTAGTAGTTTTCTGATGTCCCAGTTCAATAATTATAGCAGCTGATTCCATTATGTGAGCTGCATTCGTAGCTGGGACGAAACCAGAGCTTTTGATAGGGGACAAAAGCTTATGGTGGGTAATTGGAATTGATTTAGCTGATTTAGGAGGCAAACTTTCAGTTTGAAACTTCTCAATTGGCCGGCTTATAGTCTTCTGCGGCTTTGGCTTGATGGTATTTCTACCAGGGGCATCCGGCTTATTGGGCAGACAGCCAGATTGCCCGCTTTGATGCCCATGATGAAATTCAAGGTTTTTTCTATAATAATGAGCATCTGGAAGAGATTGGGAGTCAAAAAATGGCGTACGGTATGGCTCCGAAAAGTTAGGCTTCGGTAAGGAATCCAATCCCATAAGCCTGGCAACTACCCCGGGGGCCTTAGTACAAGGAATTTCCTCATCAGTTACAGATGAAGCACAACTGTAATCACTGCTCCCTTTGAAACTTGACCCAGCTACAAGTTCATCATCATCCATCTGGACAAGGGGTGTGAACATGTTAGGGTATGACAATTAATCACCACATCAGACCATAACAAATATTGTAAGACAGATCAAATGACCATATTACCACCAGATGAAGCTGAGTCGTTGGCAAATTCTCATCACTTCTCTTCTTCTGTTTCAATTGCGCTACAGGAAAAAACAGGAGAGGCAAAAATCTTTAAAACTATTCAAATAAAAAATAAAGAAAGAAAAAACCTAAAAAATGACAAGTCACACACATAACCAGGTATGTGTGCATATCATAAAACAAGAAATAATTTATGCTCATGGAGTTCAATGATACCAGGTAAATTAGACTTGCTGAAAACCAACTTTTTCCGAGATTTTGCATTCCAATCAAAAAGCTGGAAGATGCCACCAACATAGCCTCCTCCACCCTTGGTACTTTGTTTCTCGGCCCTCATGTTGAAATGCAGAAATTAAGCTCACTTCAATACAGTTATGAAAGAAACAACTGCTGAGACAATCATTATCCTGGGAACCAAAAGTCATCTACAAGCTGGTCAATATGAAGAATGATTTACTTCATTGAATCTCTACAAAGAAGCTTGTAGGGCTTCCAAATGAAATAAAGTGAAACATAATCTTGATGACCAAAATCCACCAACAATTTCATCAAATACCTAGATTGATTTAATGCTTTCTAAAACTCATACCACCTAATACTCTGAAAGCTTACACTGCATCTTCTGTACTGTTATTGACCTCTACGTGGGTTTTATCCATCACAAAAAGGAAAATCCAGGTGATAATGTTTGAGGACTCGGCATCCAAGCGTCCAAGCACCTTTATGAGCCTTTTTAAGTGATTCTGCATCTCTCTATTCATGAAAAAAGGCCAAAAAAATGTATGCAATTTGTTGAGGTTTTTGTGAAAAATATGCTACAAAAATATTGGTAACGATTAATAAGTTGGGTTAAAAAAAGTTGGAACCTCTCGTGGCCCATGAAACTTTCACTCAATTGTTGTCTAACACTCTGTTGGCCACAGAAGTTCAGACCTGTGAGTTCCAACAAGAACAATAAAGATGAGAACAAGATGTTGAAAATGTTCAGTGCCTATTGCCCATCACTTCTCGATATACTTGGTTCTCTTCAATCCCTTAATGTGCCTAGAACACTTGCTTGGCCCTGCTTATCTTAGTAACAGCAAGACAATGGCAGGAAGATTAGGATTAGAAGACCCTAATCTCCATCATAGTCTTACCTCACCGATATCTTTGATTTTCTATGTTCTAGCTCTCAAATCCCACTAAAATTAAGGTCATTGTATCCTCCCAGTTACTTAGCATGAGAATACTAAAAGCAGCCAAATCTGTCAAAGCAATACAAACTACAGATCCTTAAAGGACTACTGACAGTTTTCTTACCCAAATGCCCAGATGTCGAAACTAATAAGTAGAAGGGGAGAATAAAGAATGCAGGCAAAAATACTAACTTAATCCCATTTGATTACCCAGAAATCGAGTTTCTTTCCTAGTCTCCCACTTTCTCAACAACCAAACAGAGCGGTTAGGATCAATCCCAGAAACCAGTTGATTTAAAGACTGTAACTTTGTTCAAGAACCAAGGTACACAGAGATGATGAAGAATAGATACTTCTTCAATAAAATTATCAAATTTATAATCAACCAAACAGTAACTCATAATCATAGGACATACAAAGTACAAACCCAAAAGCATAAAGCCCAATTGTAAATTGTTTATCAAAAAAAATAAACGCAAACCCAAATCAAGAAGACTTACAAGACCCACGAGAAATCAAGATCCATTCTCTTCCCTTCTCCCTCTCTCTGCTCTCAATGCCACAAAACTTCTGGGTCTTGGAGCTTTCTATACAGGAGATAATAGATGTTAGCGAGTGTGTGTGTGTGTGTGTGAAATTAGAGAGTTTTAGAGATAGGAAGAGGGTGAGAATGGAAGGTTTTTGGGTCAGAGATAGCAGTGAAAGCTCTTATCATTCTTGTGTATAGGGGAGGAGTGTTGGGTGTCGCTTAATTCAAGCATTAAATGGAGAGACAGAAACATAGTGAAATTGAATTATTACAGAATAATAATAATTGTTGCTTCAGAAAAGGTTAAAAAGCTTATAACGTCTCTTTTGCATAGAGGGAGAGATTTCAAATTCCAAATACATATTTACCCAAAAAAAAAAAATCTTAATTGGGCGTGGTGGGTCCGGTGCAACAATTTCTTATGTTTTGAGAACCACCAGATCAGATGGCAGGAGTTTGACTTTTTTGGGGATTTTTCTGAAGAAACGTTGTATACTTTGTATCCAAATTTTATCATTGTTGTCAATTAAATCCTAAATGGGTAATGTATAGCCATGATAGGAAAAAAAAAAGAGAGAAAGAAAAATGGTTAAATTACTAGGATCTTCTTTAGGATAGTACAAAATTAATGTGGTTGAGAGGTCATAAGAAGGAGATGTGACCAAGTCTCTCACGTTAGAAAAGATGTATTCCTAATAGAAATTAAGAATAAGTGGAAGAAATATTAAACCATGGATAGAATCATCATTGAAAATCAGAGTTGCAATGAATTTATTCACATATTTAAGCTCAAACTTATCCTATATAGAGTCATAACATTATGAATAATGTTATTTCAATCTAAAAATTTTACCTAATTTACTGACATAATAATGTATTTTCATAGGAATCATTGGATCAACACCAAGTTCTAATATTTTATAGAGCTACAATTAATTCAAATGTTACAATGAATTAGGTCAACAAATTATGTTAATGAATTAAGTTCCAATAGCATTGCTCTAACATTATATTATGATTCTATAAGCGAGGGGGTAGAACTGCTTGCTTTGATAGCAATTGATAAAGATCCATGGGTAGCATTTGTCTTAGAAAACCAGCTAAAAATATAAGTGTAGTTAAGGGTATAGATACACACATCCAAATCTATATTTAATCGATATGAGATCTTAATAAAAAAGAATAAGAAGACGATGATTAGAAAATTAAAAACTCTCTTCTTATATATTTCCGTGGATATGCTTCGCTAATATGTTAGGCGTTAAAAGTAAAGGTGTCCAAGTATGACATGTCTTATAAATACAATAAGAGCACGACAAAAAATTAGAGCATTTGAATCTTTTTTAAACCACTTATTTCGTAAACGAGTAAACCGACCTGACACGATTTATAAATAAAATATGTATGAGTGAAGCCAATCAAAAGAAATATATGACATAACTCGTTCATATAATGATTATATACAATTCATACAAAATATGAATTTGATATGATACGAGTCGTTCGATACGAATTACTAAATAAATCAGATATAAGTGAATTATTTTTTAATACAAACCCGTTAAGACTTAACACGAAACCACTTCATCCGACACGACATAATTAAAAGCAAAAAAATGAGGTGAATTGTTGAATCTCTTCATCACATGCTAGTTGTAATGAATTAAAAGAATTTCAGTATTGTCATGACTAATTACAAAAGTTGTATATATTGCATACACAGTGCAACAAATAATGGTATGACCCTATTGTCTATTTAAGCTGTCATGATTTCTTAGAACTTGAGGAAGAAAAAATTTTCAAGATGACAGAGAAAGTTTTTGTAATTACACAGTCAATGAGACAAATGGGCATATATAAGAAGATGATCATCAACGTCAGGTCCGTCAAAAACACACACTCCTCCACGTGTCAGTGTGCACTGCAAGGAAACTAATTGCAGCCATGCACGATGGACGAGTACTTGTTCTTGACCCAACGAAAGCTGCTACGGAGAGAAGCTTTCACTTTGCCTTCAATGGCGTAGGCCTTGTACGAGGAAATTCGCTTCTTTCTCTTCATTTCTGCATCGCCAAAGCGCCATGTCGACAATGTAAGCGATGGTGTGGAAGATGTAAGCCTGCCATTGCGGGGAGGGTCAGGTATACGATAAACAGGATTGGAATTATGGGGTTTCATGGATTTAACAGGCTTTTGGCCTGGGGTGGAGGACCAGTAGGCCGGTCCGCTCTCATCCGTCTCTCTCGTGGTTCCCATGGAACGTATCTGCATGCTGTGTGTGGGAGAGAGAGAGAGAGAGAGAGAGAGAGAGAGAAGGGGGTGTGAAAGAAGAAGTAGAGGTAGGGAAAGGGATGGTGGATAGGCTGAAAAGATAATAGGTTTAGAGAGAGAGAGAGAGAGAGAGAAATGGAAGGCGAATATACTTTAAGGGCTAAGGACCTTCAGGTTTTTTGTTTAGAGGAGAGAGATGGGAATGGTTTACTTTGCTTGGGCTAATGAGATGGCGAATGACTGCATTCTATAGTTGAAGAGAGAGAATTTTGCTGCTTTTGAATTGTTTGAAGGGGTATGTGTGTGAGAGAGAGAGAGAGAGAGAGAGAGAGAGAGAGATGTGTGTTCAACCTAAAAGGTCTCATTCCTCCTAATTTAGCGGGTGCAATTTGCTTGTTTAGTATAGAATATGTGTTATGGCTGGTCCATTGTGTTTTTCTTCTGGAGGGTCAATGGTTACAGGTTTATCCAGTGTCTAACCACAAAAGGTGAGGGCTATATCCTAATTATTGTAATATCAAACTTATTAATGATAATTAAACAAAAAAAGTACAGATTGTTAATTAAAAGGGTTTAAAACCCCACCAACATGGTTGACTTTGCATATAAAGGGGTTGCTTGTTTTATTTGTCAAGCTTCAAGCTTGCTACAAGTTCAAGTAAACCTGTTCATCAGCATAATTATTCACAATTTCAACTTTTACTGATGCCAAAGGTTGATTTAAATCTGGTTTTTGACATACCCGAATTGGCTCTTTGGTAGTCAAAATTTCTCTACAATTAATGCAAAAAGGGAACATTTCTTGATGAAATTTTTTTTTTTTTTTGGGGGAGGGGTTGGGTGTTTAAAAAGGTATCCAAGTAGAAAGTATTTTTAAGGCAGGCCAACCTACCTTGATTAAACTTGGAAATAAAGAGAAGTTGAATGTACCCTCGATAGGGTTTGGAGCATATCCTGTACTTATTAGTGTGGGTTGGCCCACCAACTACCTTCTTCCATAATTAAGTTATATTCCTTGAAGGAATATAATTCAATCTAAAAAAGTGTAAATCGAATTTGTATTATATTCGTGTAATTTTTAAATCGAATTGCAAGACTAACACTTTCTTTTATCCCAACAAAATTTGACACATATTAGTCCCCACAAATTATAATATTTACTTGATCAAATCAGCTAATTTTCAATTCCTATAATAATAAATCATGAAATAAAAAGATGGAAATAGATATTTTCTTTATATTCATATTTAGCACTTTTTATTAGTTAATCCCGTAATGACGGGAGTTTTGTATACTAAGTCGTTCTTTTGTTTGTTAGTTGATTGTATCATATACAAGTTAATATTGTGATGAATTTGTGTCTGTTAACGTGTCGAGTATAAATTTATGCATACTCTGTTACATAGGGGTGACCCAACGTTATTGGGGGCCTTAGGCGAAATGTTAAACAAGGCCACATTAATATATATATGTAACTCCCCAATTTTTCGGACCTGTTATTTGATTAAATTAATTGATCGATAATAAACAACAAATAAATCTCTGAGTATAGGATTAGAGCTCTAATTGCCTCAATAAATTTATAATCACAATTTTGATCACCAAAAACCAATAAAATAATCTCCTCAATATAAAAACAAATTTTTTCAAATTATACATCACCTCAATAACCCACAAAGTTAAAAATTATATCAAGATTCTTCTGTCTTTAATTCTTCAAATATCAACTCTGGTCCTCCCCTCCGGGATAATCCTGAAAAATATTAAAGGTGGGGAAGTATACAATATGACAGAAAACAATATGCTTAACAAGAAAAGAATATGAATGACCAAATTCCAAATAATTCAATTGATAGACAATCATAGATAAAAGAATCAAGAATCCAATTCGATAAGTCACATAGCTTAATATCTATCAAATCTACCCTCATACTCGGATCCCCTTGGTGACATGACAAGTGACACCTGAGCATTTAAAATCCATACTCATATCGAACCATAACACCCCTCAGGGTTGTAATTACAATTGCACCCCGCATGACCATAATCATATTTCACCAATTATGCCCCCAAGTACANAAAAAAAAAGAGAGAAAGAAAAATGGTTAAATTACTAGGATCTTCTTTAGGATAGTACAAAATTAATGTGGCTGAGAGGTCATAAGAAGGAGATGTGACCAAGTCTCTCACGTTAGAAAAGATGTATTCCTAATAGAAATTAAGAATAAGTGGAAGAAATATTAAACCATGGATAGAATCATCATTGAAAATCAGAGTTGCAATGAATTTATTCACATATTTAAGCTCAAACTTATCCTATATAGAGTCATAACATTATGAATAATGTTATTTCAATCTAAAAATTTTACCTAATTTACTGACATAATAATGTATTTTCATAGGAATCATTGGATCAACACCAAGTTCTAATATTTTATAGAGCTACAATTAATTCAAATGTTACAATGAATTAGGTCAACAAATTATGTTAATGAATTAAGTTCCAATAGCATTGCTCTAACATTATATTATGATTCTATAAGCGAGGGGGTAGAACTGCTTGCTTTGATAGCAATTGATAAAGATCCATGGGTAGCATTTGTCTTAGAAAACCAGCTAAAAATATAAGTGTAGTTAAGGGTATATATACACACATCCAAATCTATATTTAATCGATATGAGATCTTAATAAAAAAGAATAAGAAGACGATGATTAGAAAATTAAAAAACTCTCTTCTTATATATTTCCGTGGATATGCTTTGCTAATATGTTAGGCGTTAAAAGTAAAGGTGTCCAAGTATGACATGTCTTATAAATACAATAAGAGCACGACAAAAAATTAGAGCATTTGAATNATATGTTAGGCGTTAAAAGTAAAGGTGTCCAAGTATGACATGTCTTATAAATACAATAAGAGCACGACAAAAAATTAGAGCATTTGAATCTTTTTTAAACCACTTATTTCGTAAACGAGTAAACCGACCTGACACGATTTATAAATAAAATATGTATGAGTGAAGCCAATCAAAAGAAATATATGACATAACTCGTTCATATAATGATTATATACAATTCATACAAAATATGAATTTGATATGATACGAGTCGTTCGATACGAATTACTAAATAAATCAGATATAAGTGAATTATTTTTTAATACAAACCCGTTAAGACTTAACACGAAACCACTTCATCCGACACGACATAATTAAAAGCAAAAAAATGAGGTGAATTGTTGAATCTCTTCATCACATGCTAGTTGTAATGAATTAAAAGAATTTCAGTATTGTCATGACTAATTACAAAAGTTGTATATATTGCATACACAGTGCAACAAATAATGGTATGACCCTATTGTCTATTTAAGCTGTCATGATTTCTTAGAACTTGAGGAAGAAAAAATTTTCAAGATGACAGAGAAAGTTTTTGTAATTACACAGTCAATGAGACAAATGGGCATATATAAGAAGATGATCATCAACGTCAGGTCCGTCAAAAACACACACTCCTCCACGTGTCAGTGTGCACTGCAAGGAAACTAATTGCAGCCATGCACGATGGACGAGTACTTGTTCTTGACCCAACGAAAGCTGCTACGGAGAGAAGCTTTCACTTTGCCTTCAATGGCGTAGGCCTTGTACGAGGAAATTCGCTTCTTTCTCTTCATTTCTGCATCGCCAAAGCGCCATGTCGACAATGTAAGCGATGGTGTGGAAGATGTAAGCCTGCCATTGCGGGGAGGGTCAGGTATACGATAAACAGGATTGGAATTATGGGGTTTCATGGATTTAACAGGCTTTTGGCCTGGGGTGGAGGACCAGTAGGCCGGTCCGCTCTCATCCGTCTCTCTCGTGGTTCCCATGGAACGTATCTGCATGCTGTGTGTGGGAGAGAGAGAGAGAGAGAANCTTGATCAAATCAGCTAATTTTCAATTCCTATAATAATAAATCATGAAATAAAAAGATGGAAATAGATATTTTCTTTATATTCATATTTAGCACTTTTTATTAGTTAATCCCGTAATGACGGGAGTTTTGTATACTAAGTCGTTCTTTTGTTTGTTAGTTGATTGTATCATATACAAGTTAATATTGTGATGAATTTGTGTCTGTTAACGTGTCGAGTATAAAATTTATGCATACTCTGTTACATAGGGGTGACCCAACGTTATTGGGGGCCTTAGGCGAAATGTTAAACAAGGCCACATTAATATATATATGTAACTCCCCAATTTTTCGGACCTGTTATTTGATTAAATTAATTGATCGATAATAAACAACAAATAAATCTCTGAGTATAGGATTAGAGCTCTAATTGCCTCAATAAATTTATAATCACAATTTTGATCACCAAAAACCAATAAAATAATCTCCTCAATATAAAAACAAATTTGTTCAAATTATACATCACCTCAATAACCCACAAAGTTAAAAATTATATCAAGATTCTTCTGTCTTTAATTCTTCAAATATCAACTCTGGTCCTCCCCTCCGGGATAATCCTGAAAAATATTAAAGGTGGGGAAGTATACAATATGACAGAAAACAATATGCTTAACAAGAAAAGAATATGAATGACCAAATTCCAAATAATTCAATTGATAGACAATCATAGATAAAAGAATCAAGAATCCAATTCGATAAGTCACATAGCTTAATATCTATCAAATCTACCCTCATACTTGGGTCCCCTTGGTGACATGACAAGTGACACCTGAGCATTTAAAATTCATACTCATATCGAACCATAACACCCCTCAGGGTTGTAATTACAATTGCACCCCGCATGACCATAATCATATTTCACCAATTATGCCCCCAAGTACATTTCGTACATGTACCAATCAATCCCAAAATATTTAGCCCAACGTACATGTACAAGTCAGTCGATAATATTCAGAATAATCAATAGAAATACAAAATTTTAGATAATGAAAGGACACTCTTTGCAAAGAAATTTAAAAGACAGAAGCATATTGTATAC